CTACTATGCTCAGCGTAGTCGATTACCTATAGTCCATGGCATTTTGAGATTCCCAGAGATGTCTGCTCGGAGATAGACACGTGTTCGGGGAAAGCGAGCCCTGCCCGAACGACGATAGCTAGAGAGCTGGGACTTGCATAATTTTGTAGAGTAACGTCCGGACTATCTACTCATGCAAAAGAATTACTAACATTGTATGTTAGTTTTCTGAGAACGGAGCTGGTTTGCCAAAGATCCTCTGGAAATCCGATCTCTGGAATTTTTTCAAAGGTTACTTCCGCTTGTGAAAAGTTCTGCTCAAGCCTTGGCTATTGAACAGCGGAAATCGCAGGTCTCTGTCTCATTCCTATCAAGAGTTATTCAAAAAATGCCCACGGGTCTTGTATTTTGGGATGGATAGTAGAATAGTTTTGATTTCATCGTTAGTCATTGTGACGTACTGAGTTTAGTTTTTGAAATTAATAACAATTGTAAGAAAACTCCATACTATCGATATGGTGATAAATGGTTGAATAGCCAGACCACCATTTGCATTTGGTGTAGGATTGCATAGATCAGTAGCACAACATTTTACATTCATATATACCATTGGTTGAGACATCATTGTCTGACAGGTGGTAATATCGGTATAGGTGGATATCCATTTGATTGTTCCGGCTTGTTGTTCTTGAGATGTACAAGCTTGGTCATCTGCGGTGCAATGGAATTGATAAACTACACATACCAATGTGCTGTTGGAATAGACGCTAGGGTCGACATCAATGATATCTGCGGGACCAGAGTAACACTTAAGAGTGGTGAATAATGGAATGAGAGTGAAGAAAATCAATGCAGCATACAAGGGCATCTATATGAAAACAAAAGTGTAACAACAAAGTTATACTGATGCGGGACTGTTTTAGGTTTTTTCTCACTTTAGTGCCTTTAGGCTTTTACACTCTTTGGTCGCTTGGTAAGGTACAAGCCGTAGTCAATAACAGTTTGACTATATATATGTTAGAGTACAAATGTACGCATTTCTTCGACACAGACAGACGCGCAAAGTTATATGTGATCTTGAATGGGTGAGCTGGAGAGCTGGGCGAGAGTGAGCTCGAAAAGTATTTCCATTCTAAAGAGTCATCAATTTCGTAGTAACGTAAAGGGAGTAAATGAAAGACAGATATAAACGTACGAAAGTATAATAAGAAGAATAAGCTGAAATGAGAGCATGTAGCCTTGTATATAAGCTGGAAAGATGTCGGGACAAATTTTTGACCACCTCTCGGCCTTTGTTTCGTGCCCTGTTCATTCAACAGCTTTCTCGTTCATGTGTCTCAGAATCTCTCAACGTTCAGAAATTACCTTTATTCAGCTATGCTATGAAAAAACAACACATACGAAATGCGAATAAGTTTGGATAGAATTTATATTTTATAAGGAACCTTTCTACTTAAATGATCCTTGCAAACATGTAATTTCATTTTTTTTCTTTTGTCGGAGTATGACCTTATGTTTCTTTTACCTTTAGCCATGATTCAAATCTAACAGAAAAATACGAGAAAATATGATTTGAGTAAGAATTTAGTCAAAATGACATTGGATTTAATGCAAGAGAGATAGTTATTGAAGTGAGATGATAACCACTTCTGGATGAGACAGAATGCTTTTATGCATAAAGCATATTTGTGATGACCATTCAGGCAAAAAGGTTTCCTTACTACCAATTCTTGTTGTTTGATCAGTTTTTCAATACATGGTTGTTTTATCATCTCATCTCATCATCGTTCACATTCTTGTTTACTCGATCAACAATACGGTGAAATAATCGAACCGTTTGAATGATTATTATCTCATTTTCGATAACGATCAACTAAATCAAAGGCATTTTAACTTAATTCTTACTTAAATCATATTTTCTCGTATTTTTCTTTCAGATTTACTCTCACTGCAAAATCTATGTACATTTAAACAATCCTACAAAATCGTATTGCTTTCAACTTCATAATTATATATACTTTTTTGGTTTAGATTCAAAATATATATATATATATATATGAGAAAGAACATGTATGAAAGGAATCACCGTTCTTGCATCTCACACTAACTGCATAGCTGATAGTAAAAGAAATATAGAATGGTGAAAGATATTGAAGAAAACGAATGAATGGCGGGATGGAATGTGTAAAACATAATCATTGAATGATGCTAGAGTGTGGGATACTAATATGAATAAATCGACTTGTCATACGTGCACAATCAATAAAGAAAATATATATAATTATGAAATTGAAAGAGCAATACGATTTTGTAGGATTGTTTAAATAACATAGATTTTAACATGGATTTTGCAGGGAGAGTAAATCTGAAAGAAAAATACGAGAAAATATGATTTAAGTAAGAATTAAGTCAAAATGACATTCGGAAGGACCCACTAACTAGGACGTGTATAACGCGTCCGTTGAACAGTGTGAACGACGACTCAATTCGAACACTACACAATCTGAACAAGATCGAAGTTCGTTCTACTCATTTCATTTGCACAATTGATAGAAGAATAATGTTTTTTAAATAAGGATTTGATTGATAAGTAGGAGAGATCGAAAGTAGCGAGATTTAATTGCAAATACCCGGTAACATTTATTCAATATATTTATATTAGCGTTATTGAGCCATCAACACTCTTGATGTTCTAGTGTGTGTGACCTGTAAGTTCTCTTCGATTTCTTTATATCTTGTTGGTGAGAACAGCTGGGATTTTGTTAGTTTTTCGTGTCGGAATCCAATATTTTAATTGAACTGTTTAAACGATTATTAATGAAAGTTCACGCACGGTCGCATATACATGCATTACTCTAGTTCTGATTGAACTTGACGTTCCACATTTCAATTGCCATCTTTTATCCATCCTGTTGTGTTTCCCGTTGACGTTTCACATTCATTCTTTTAACTTCGACCGCATGTTCACCCTTCGTTTTCTTACCGGATATGGTCTTCTATTATGTGGGCGAGGGGTTGATACAAATATCCACTTGTAATCGCGCTTTAAGTTTCGCAGTGACACTAACAAAGTGTTTAAAGATCTTGGATGGCTCTCAGTTTGAAATCGGTTTGAACTTACCCGCACGTGTATGTTTTTTAAAATTAACACTTTCATTGTCCACGAAAAAAGCCCGAACCTGTCCGGTAAAACTTGGAGATCATCGACTATATATGTAAAGAGGAACAACGTCCGTTTTCTTTCTTTCTGCTCATAACCAAAGGATGCAATAGAAGATTACATAACGGATACAAGATAATAATCCAATATTCTGTCAGACACCTCGAATGAAGATTTCTTTTATATTTCTGTAATTCATTCCATAATCTCTACTAAAACTAAGGACAAAGATTTCTGTAGCAAAAATGATCTCCACAAATATCCTATGTCTTTTTGATAAATCCACTTTCTCTGTTCGTCTAGTCAAACAAGATATACAACTGTTGGCAAGTACAGATCATCATTTCAGCCTCTGCGATTCATAGTTAGAAAAATCTATTATTTCCACTATAAATTATTTATTCGAACGAAATTCTTATTTACTTTTATACAATAATCGAAAATATTTCATAACAGTAACAGCTATTGGATCAAATGTTTTAATCAGAGTAACACGCGGATTCTTCAAATCAGTCTCGTTTTGAGTATAATCAAGTGTACCAACTGTTAACATTAAATTATTATTTTTCTCTATATTTGTAACACCATCCGATTCCAACACCCAATTTTTTCCATCTATCGATTTCACGCCACAATATGATAAAAACATTCCACCACCTGGTGTTGAAACGCTGTGTGTGAGAACACGAGCAAGTACTGCGCCCGGCACTTGAAGTTTGACAACTTCATCTTCGAACGGAAGTATACGTAAAATGTCATAGTTAGTGAGTTTCCCCTTCACAACGTCATCGATACGAATTGAGCCAGTATTGTACAATCCAACAGTCGCATTCGTCTCATACATTAAACTTTTACAAATATAGTCGGTTAATAGTGTTGCATGATATCTAATAGATGAGTCTCGACCGTCAAGCTCAACACCAACTGGAAACGTGACTACAGTATCGTAGGGTCGAAATCCACTTTTTGTAAACGCGTCCATACCCATGGAGAACCATTTTTTGACAACCGACGCTGTGAGAAAATCATCGGGAATCTCAGGAGTAATTCGAACTAATTTGCTGTCAACAAAAAGCTTTCTTGTGTATAAATTAAAAGCGAAACGATGAATATAAACGCTAAATGCATTGGCATCCGCTTTACAAATACGAGTTCCACGCTCACCACGAACCAAATAATAATTTTCATGATCATGACCTCCTATAGATTCAAGAAACAAAATGGATCATCAGAAGGTTCAACAACATAGTTGATGTGGCATCCCACCTCGTTTCTCCATCGGTACTCTAATTATCAATGAGATCCAGGAACATATGACACATGTTATTTTAGCAGAATGTCAATTACTAAAATATCTTCAGTAACTCTTTATTAAATATCTTTAGCAATATTTTATTTTGCTTTGAACAGAAAAGTACATAAATCGAGAAGCTTTTGGATTTCAATCAGTTCGGATCAATCAAAAATTTTGTCAGAATGGCGCGGGCATAGCATGAAGAGTATCTATTTTAAACAAGAAGATTTCGATGCCGATATTTTTGTGAAAAATACCTTTGCGTTTCGTGTTAGGGTGTCACTTTCCTTTTCTTGACTAGCTATAAGTAATAAAACTTATTGGTTATTATCAGGAAAAAAGTAATAAATCTTTTACAATAATCTTTTATTACTTTACCAGTAAGAAAACTAATAAAAACTTGAATAAAATAATAAAAATGATTACTTGAGAAACCTCATAAGTAAGGTGCTGTGAATGCAAAAGTTGAGCGAATTTCTTTTGTTGTTGAGTGATGAATGCTTGAATAGACGTTGTCGAGCTTATCAAGAACTTTTTAGACAACTTTTTTGAGTAAGAACTTTTTGAAATACAAGTGCCCGGTGAAAAAGTGAAAATCTGGTCGATTTCGAGAAAACTCGAGAAGATTTTGCCCGTTTACATCCATCAAAATTATCTGGAACTATTTTATTTTGGATTCAACATCAAAAACTGCATACATCTACATAAGGATGAAACAATTCCATCACAACCCTCTATCTTCAACAAGCTCGACTAGGACGACCAAGGGGCAAAGTGACACCTTAGTCTCGCAAAACTACATCTTTTGTTTCAAAAAGTTATAAATAATACAACAACAAGATTTATTAACCTTTTACCGTTAACAAGTAACAAACGTTTATTACTTCTACCGGATAATGTCATAATTAGTAAAAGTAAAGCAACGCGCCCCTATTTGGTATGTGCTGATAATTTCAATAAGATAAGCATACCATTCAGTTCAGGCTCAAAGTCTTTCTCAACTAAACACTACGAAAAACCTGACTACAATTAGAACTAACTAATCCCACTTTACTAAATGCGATCCATCGCTTTTCAATCCAGTTGCGAATTTAAACCGTTTCAAGCACTTTACTTACCCATGATAATATCGATTTGGGGTATACCTTCTGCTAATGCAATATCCATTTTCAGATCACAGTGTGTTAATGCAACGAGTACATCATATTTGATGCGTAAAGATTGTAGAAAACGTTGAATAAACGGTATCATCGACGTTCCATTCATGATCGTGACGTATGGCGACGATCCACCGATATTTAGATCGGTTGAATAAGAGAAGATAAGAATTTTTACCTTTTTAACATTAATTATCTCGTATCGAACGGCTGTATTAAACATGGATGTTGTCGATCGCTCAAATACATTTGTACCTAGCCATGAAAAATTAGATTCTCTCATTCGCTGAATAAGATCATTTCTTTTCAAATCAAACTCATGATTTCCGAATGTTACATAATTAACACCCACAGCATTCAAACCTAGAAGTAAATCAAAGTGATAACCTTCAGTGATGTTTAAGCAGTTAATAATTGTCAATGTTAACGTGAAAGAAATTGTGCCATTATATCTCGTTAGCATATTTCATCCAGTGGAAGCGTGTGAGTAACTACTATCGGGAATGGAAGTAAATAGTTTAAGCCAAAAAGTCAAGGCTTAATGTAGTAATCGGGATGCCTTAACTCTCCATGAGGATACGGTCTTCATTCAGTCATTTTAGCGCTTTTCCTCTCATATTTGTTGTACATGGCATTTTTTAGAGCGAATTATATAGTATTAGACGTCAAGGTTCACCAACACAGCTTCAGTTAGTGTTTTCTTAACAGATTTCAAAACACAACATGAGTTACGCACATCTTGGGCTAGTCCGAGTCAAGACTGATGTCTAACTGTAACGTTTACTGAAAGGTAAGTCAACATGTTCGATAGTTTTGTTAACATTTATGTAGGAGTTTTGTTTTGATACAGTTCCTACGTATACGGAATAATAATAATAATATGCAAGCACGTGTAGCCTGTTTACATCGACGGGTACACTTCAGGTCTCTGTAGATGTAGAAGTTCAACTAGCAACACGTAGAAGCGTTGCAGTTTCTGATCAAATTTCTGCCATATCAATGAGGACACTTCTATACATACTGCTTATCATTTGTTTTCCATTCAACGCTGTTCCGTTTACTTTTGCCTGACTCAAAGCCGATGGTGATACGAAATCGCCAGCAAGAAATGTATAAGTCTGTCGATTTTCATTCATTAATCTTTTTTGAATGGCGGCAACGCGAGCTAATCCACCATCTTGACCATTATTTAAAGGCATCAGTTCATAAACATCGTTCATTTGAAGAAATGTCCATTCAGCGTAGTCAACGTCACTGGAATGCGCGTTAATGATTTCAGCGAGGCGGTCATGTCGGAGCGATGAAGTGATTTTCAGTATTATCACTGACAATATAATAAAGATAAAGCTGTTCATTGTAATCTAAACATAGCAAATATGAATACGATGAAGATGTGTTTGTATCATGCCATATAACCTACCCGTCGTATTTAAGTGAATATTGGATGCTTTTAATTCTCTAAACCATAAAGTAAATTGTAGTGACAATCAAACTGTAACAACTATGTTTATATAGATAAACTAGTAGACTGTTTACTGTTATAAATGACGGCAACTATTTAACTCTTTGTTTTTTGACGGAGAAAGATTGAAAATATAGAACTAATCGAAAACGTAACGGCAGACGTTTAACATTTTCAGATGACAGTAGTTATGTATGAGAGATTGTGAAGTTTAATATAATATACATACAGTTACCATTAGGCTTCATGCAAATAAGACGTATCTATACAATTCTTTTCTCTTTTTGTATACTATATATATATAACATATATTAAGACTGTTAACTTTTTCGTAAATCTCGATTTTTTCAGCCATTTTTCAAGTGGCAAAATTAACCGTTACTACAGTTTTATGAAATTTGATCTGCTCACAAATCTTGCGAAATAAACTATTTTGAGATGAAGTTTATAGCTGCTATTTGCGTGTATTTTTAATAAGAACGATGCGTACGGATAGGAAGAGTTTAGGTTTGCTTAATATCATTAGTTTGCCTCTTTACATGTATCTACTACCCATTCAACAAGCGAGCGGAGCAGCTTCCGGTGCTTATAACTTTTGAATGGAGAGAGGTAGTTAACTGAACTTTCTCGCCTTCAAACTGAAAACTGACATGCCCACAATGATCAGCTCCTCTCGTTTTGTTGAATGGGTAGTAGATACATGTAAAGAGGCAAACTAATGTAACCAATAATTCATACTTCACAGTTTTTTAGCACTCTAAAAACTACTCTAAAGGGGTTTAGAAATGGTTGCACGTCTCTATACCCTTTTAGGTTTCGGACAAAAGTTGATCACCTACATTTTAAACTGACTGGAAACTGCAGGCAGTTGGCAGGTGAATGAAAACTTTTTCCGGTGACGACCGGTAGATGAGACAAATGTTTTCCTGCCTGCAGTCCCTGTACAGAAGAAGATTTTACTTGCAATCACTGCAAGGAAATACGTTTTTGTGTGGAGAACAAAAAGAGATAATGTCTTTTTTTATATCTCTACTAGACATTTTAAGATGGCAGAGAGAAACGTTTTATCAATCACTTATACCATTTGCCATGTCATTTTCCTCTGATATAATGGCCTAGACCGTATCTGTGTAGAATGACTATTCTTATTTCTCTTTCTTAAATGAATAAAGTTTAAACTAAGCTAAACCAAAGATATAGAATAAAGAAAAATAGTGAATTTCGCTCTCATTGTATGTAAGATGTTTCTTTTACTATGCGCACTACATATAGTATATAGAAGATGACCAAAGACCATAACCATAACAGAAAGAGAAAAATATAGAGCAGGAATAGTGAATCGTAACTCGTGATACAGTCTGTAATTATCAGTGTGTAATACAGACTGATAGTAGTCAGTAGGAAAAAAACTTGTTATACCCCGCCCTAGGGTCTACCTGCAGTTGACTTCCAGGGCAGTGCAGAAGTTTTCACTCTCAAGCAGTTCCTGTGCGGAATAGAAGATGTTTTTCTAATCTGCAAACTGCAACGCGCTTAAATTATATTTTTGAAAAATTATGCAGGTGATCAGCTCTGTTTCGTACATAAACTTTTCTTTTAGAGAGTAGGGATAATAACGAGGTACAAGCATGATTTGAATACTCTGACGTTGGACCAGCTTTGCAAAGCGTTCATTTGGTCAGTGTTACATTATGCCGCTGTAATTTACTCCTCCACCTCTCACACTCAATTAAAACCTATCGTTAAGTGGAGGCGGGCCCCCCAAAAAGGTACTGTTAAACCTACTCAGATTGTAGAGTAGAGACCTGCACAGATTACGAAAACGTAACGCGAACCCGAGCCGACAAATTTTTACTCTTTTGTTTCGTTCTTAAGTTTATGTCTTTTTATTTACCTATTTGTTTGGCGTAAAGCATCGCATTACAGGCAAGTGACTTTTTTCTAATAGTCTGCTAATATTCCAGGAAATTCGGGCGATATATCTTTCTAAATTCGCAATATCACCTCTAAAGAAACAGAAATGTTATCTTTGAAAATTGTGCGGTTTGGAAAACATAGTTTTCCTTCAAGAAGAAAAGTTCAATAACAAGCGAATTTAGGAAAACATAACGCTCAAATTTTCTGTAATATTAGCAGACTGTTAGCGAAAGTACGAAAGAAAATTTCACTTCCTAATTCTTTGTTTTGACTTTGTTACACAATTATTACTGTTACTAAACACAGTGTTCCTTTAGAACAAAAAAATCATAACTTTTGAAAGAACTGATATGAGTCCTCGTTTAAGGGTTTTTATCAGCTCACTTTCCTCTATTAACCGGCATTATATCATTAAAAACGGAGTTGAGCATCTGAAGACCTTTCCTCGCTAGTGAATGCAGTTGTTCTGAAATAAGTATTCCAACTGAGAATTCCGGCATAGTTAACTTTTCAGCGAGTAATACAAAACTGAAATTATTATCTATATTTTACATTGCAAAATGTTCAGCCCGACCCGACCTGATCCGACCCGACAACATCTTAACCCAAACCCGACCCGACAACATCTTAACTCGAACCAGTTGCAGGTCACTATTGTAGAGACACTTGACTGCATATATCCCGAATTGTTTTCGGAGATCCGATAACTATTCACGGCATTATAAATTAATCAAGATAAAATTTTAAGAAAAAATTTAATTGCAAGGCCTATTTTTAAAAACTAAGCTGTTTAATCAAAACTGATTATACCAACGTCATTCTAGTGTACCGTACACTAGAGTGACGTTGGATTCTCGACCTAAGGCTTAGGTCGAGAATCATTTTTAGTTCTGTTCGCATTGAAGATGCTTCGAAAAAAGCCGTACTAGGATATAGATTATGTTCGCCTGCTAACCCGCTTCAATATTTTTACATTTTTTCATAGGTAGTTACAGTCGGTTATGAAGCTAGTGTAGCTAGCTGCAGTGGGCGCTACTAGCGTATTTTTTTATGCTTGGGCTAGCACAATGACTACATGACATAAGGACTTTTTATTTTAAGCAAATAAATTACAATAAAGTTGGAACATTTTACCGAAACTCCGAACTTTGCAGATGACTTCGTTTGGGCGAAATATTAATCATAAGTTACTATGAGGGTGTATGATCTACTTTGCTGCTCACTGTAAACGTGTGTCAGTAATAAATTGTTTTATATGCCAAAGAAAGTTCGATAATAACAATTCCAGTAATGATATGTAACATATGAAAAAAGGTTCCACTTGAAACGCACAGTTTTATTAGATGTTAAATATATTTTTAAACTATAAATAATATGAAAAAGCGTTCGGAAAAGTTTGGCAGATCCCTTTTTTGTTTGAAATTTTTCTACTCTTTTAGTAAAATTCATTCTTATGGTTCACAGTAACGCTCTCGTTGGCGCCAAGTGCCGATGACTACATGCCGTAATATCTAGCGTATCATATATAGCAAAATCAGACTCCTTTTTGATAGTACGTGGCCAGACAGCTAAGTGTATCCGTTTTAGTGTCACCAACGCACTCAAATATTAGGAAAGTGATCCTCAAATTCACTGGATGAAAGTTTTAAGTTTAAACAAGCTACAAATAATATTTCATCTCCTGATATTTCTTCCTTCTGGCCAGGCACAGATACTGAGATATTCGCTGAGGGCACAACTAGGTCCTGAACACTGCAGTTTAGTTGTGCTCTCAGCGAATATCTCAGTAACTGTGCCTGGCCAGAAGGAAGAAATGTCAGAAAAGTAAATATTATTTGTAGCTTGTTTAAACCTAAAACTTTCATCCAGTGAATTTGGGGATCACTTTTCTAATACTTGAGTGCATTGGTGACACTAAAGCGAATACACTTAGCTGTCTGGCCAAGTACTATGAGCTTCAAATATTAAAATTGAAGTCAGCAACCGCAAGCGCGCAGAATAAGCCTAAGAAAGTCAAAAAGCGCTTTTCCGATGCACTTTCGATAAACGCGCGAGTACTGAACGACGCCAACAACGAAAGATAATGGTTCATTAGTTAATTTTCTTTAAATTCCGATTCGTTACAACGCCTGTAGTGGAGCATGACTAAACGTTCGTGCGAGAAGCAGTGGTTTAGGATCCTTTTCTCAGTCCCAGTTACACCATGTTTTATTCGGACTTTTCTTCTAGGACATGCTGTAATAAATTTTGACATTTTTCAGTTTGAATCAAGTACACAATACCAACTACCTGCATGTAGAAACTGCTTTGACCCAGGGCTGGGCAACTCCGCTGATTTTCAACTCCAACTCCGTTTTCAAATTTCCAGTTCAAATCCAACTCCAACTCCGCTCAAAACTTTTCAACTCCAACATCAACTCCATCAATAAAAATCTCAACTCCCGTTCAACTTCGGTTGCTTCACTTTGCAAGGAAGATTTTTCGATTTTTAGCAGGATTTTGGGCGTTTTTGAGCTTTTTTCGGCCGGAAAGCAAAAAGAACTTCCGAATTCACTCGTGAATACAGTCACTCAATCGTTTAGAAGATTAGTTTTACAACTATTGAATATTTCCAAAAATGCAAAACGAAGTTGAGAATAAAAATTCAAAAAATCCAACTTCACTCTCCTAAAATCTCAACTCCAACTCCACCAAAAAAATCTTTAACTCCGGAGTTGCAGTTGCTCAGCCCTGAATGCTATATTCGAAATCTACTTGTCAATCCGAATCGAATGATATGCTTTTCAATTTCTTATACAGTCGTCAAAAGAAAAAATTGAGTAAGACATTTTTTATGTCTATAACACTCATATATAATCAGCATTTTTGTTTTGTTTTTGTTTGTTTTATAAAAGAAATTGTTTTTAGCCCTCTTTTCTTTCTGTACTTTCTTGCGTTTGTGCGTTTCTTAGGGTACTTCTTTATAGGAAAAAACATCTGAAAAAAAGTAGGGGCAAAAGTTGTAGAAGCAGACACTGGAGATTGCCATGAGACATTTGAATTTTCATGAAATTAAAAAGGCTCATATAATGAGAAAGTCCCCGAACAATAGAACTACGAAAAATAGTAATTTTCTTTTCTATTTGGTTTCCTTATTCATGTTATATTTAGTATGTGTTCATGTTAAGACGTGCGTTATCACTCATTCAGTCTCTATTTGATGTTGATGTATGTGTTTGAATATATTGCGAAATTCACGTCATAGTAATTTCTTCGTGTTATATAGTTTACATGCGACGTGTGGTTGAATGGAAGGGAATAGGAAAAAAAGAAAACAAAAGCGTCTTTTAACGTGAGTACACACGAGATGAATAAGAAAAGAAAATTACTATTTCCTGCAGCTCCAATCAAAGATAAAAAGAATTCCTAGGAGGTACCTCATGCCAATGGCTTAATCAGGATTTTTAGACTGCTGGGCCGTGTTCCTTAGAGTCGAAAAAAATGGGTGAGCCGAATGTAGCCTGCTTGGGCAGGAAATCTTTCCAACTGTTGCCGCCTCTGATACTGTCATTTTCGGTGCTACTCGTTATCGTGGCAATTTAAGATTTTTCAACGTCATTTTAGGGTGAAAAAATTGAAAAATACTGGTTTTTTGATCTACAGAAAAAAATAGTGAAATTTTCATGTTTGATCGCCTTTCGAAATTCTACATGCATTTTTCTCCTATTTTTCACCGAAAACTGCGTCTGGAAAGCTAATTTTGAAAATTTTAGAAGCTAAATTGGACTCAGAAACTGCGAAGCACGAGTACGATGGTAAAGGAGCTGCCGCTCAGTTTTACGAACTTATTTCTTATACGATGCAAAACAAATGGAAGAAATGTTGAGCATTATTTCTGCATGTTCCTGATGCGCTGGCAATTTAATTATTTTTCTGTCAGAAAGAGCAAAGTCTGAACTTCACAGAACATAGAAAAAATTTTTTTTTGTAATTGAGTTTGAGTGAAAAGAAATCTAAATACGAAACGCCGCCCAAAAAGCTCTTGCAACTTCTACTCTTTTGAAATGTATCGTTCTCATCATAAGTATTTTTTCACTATAGCAGAGTAAGTTTGCAGTTATATAGTTATAGAAACTAGAAATGTTTTTATTTCTCTTTTGAATTGGATAAATTATCTTTCGATCTACTTTTTAATTAGAAATTTGTGAGTTTTTCATTTGTTTTAGAAAAAGAGTTGATTAGGCTTAATTAATAATTTTCATATACTAAATGACCTTTGCTCTTTTACTAAAACACATTTTCTGAAACAGCACTCAGTTCTCTACAAGGTCTCATTACTTTTAATTTTTACTGACATATCTTGAGTCCTAAATAAGAAATTTTCTCAATGTCGTGTCTTTCTCATGAAAATTACAGTTTTCTACGAAATCTGACTTTTGTAATACGTTTCTTTCACTATTAAGGAGTTAATGATACAGTAGATGGATCAATACAGTTTTGCGTAGATGACATTCTCATCTATTTATTTTCAAAAAGGGTTTTCTCCTCAGGTTGCAGTGAAAAATTAAAGAAAAAATTGCTTTGCAACAGAATTTTAGACGACGTTTGACATTTATATCTTTTCTCATTCAAACTCAATTACAAAAAAAGTTTTTTCTATGTTCTTTGAAGTTCAGACTTTGCTCTTTCTAACGGAAAAACAATTAAATCGTCGGCGCATCCGGAATATGCGGAAATAATGCTCGACATTTTTTCCATTTCTTTTGCATCATATAATAGTCCTACGATTTTGGATATAAAATTCTTTCTTTTACTTCATTCTGAGCGCGACGCTTGCGCAAAAAATACGGTACCTGTTAGCTGGTACCGTGTTACCAGGTTGTCATAAAAAAACTCAGCATTTTCACTCAAAATCCAAAATTCTCGAAAATCTCCGAAACGCATTTTTCAACTTAGGTTTTAACGCTGATCCCAAATAGCCTTTTCTGTATCGAAAAGCTGATTTTTGATGGAGGAAACGGCAAAATACCACGCCAGTTTTATTGTTTTTTCACTGCTTTCGAAAAAATTAAATTTCTCTAAAACTAGACAAAATTTTCCTAAAACGATACTTAAACTTTTCTCCATAAGTATCGCGATTAAAATGAAGTAAAAAAAAGAATTTTGTATCCAAAATTGTTGAACTAAACAGGTTCGTAAAATTGAGCGCCAGCACCTCCAGACTTAGTTTTAGATGGAAAATATGAGAAATATAGTTGTAGAATTTCGAAAGGCGATCAAACATGAAAATTTCACTATTTTTTAATTTATACTCGCACTCGTTTTAAACGCGTCTTTACGATGAAAGTTGTCAGTGGGGTGCATCAGAAATCCCCTTAGACTTTTGGGATCGTTTTTCTGGAAAGAATATATGTATGCTAATGCATTGCCTATGATTTTCGGTTGACTACGGTATTTGAACGATGTGGTTGTTTTCTTTTATGTAAATTGATTCTATCCTTTCCTTCAATTTGTGCTATTACTCTGCTCATTGTTCTTGAATATTTACCTTTTTCTTATAACCTTTTACAAAACACAAGAAACCATCAACTTAATACATGAATTTTATAGTCAGACTAAATTTTGGAACTGGTTAAAAAAAGACTAATCTTTTCTACGCAATACAAAATTATTATTTGGCATAAAATGATGTAATGTGTTACCCGGCTTCTTGTCTTAATGAAATATGATCTTCGGACCGGTTTGTTTTGTTGTAATGGCAAACAACAGTTATATCTCTCTCTTGTGTATGTGTCTTTGCCGAAAAAGGTAGCCAACCTAAAGAAAACAAAGAACTGATTTAATAAAGATTTGAAAGCTTATCAAATGAATGGATTGAGGAGGCTTCGCATGATAACGAAATGATTGTTCAACAAGAGCAAGTCACATTCAAGAAGACGATTAACAACAGAAAAAATTCATCATCGAGAAAAAGATAGTAAATCACATTCAGAAAACAAAGGAGAAAACTCACTCAAAAAGATAAAACGTGGTCTACTGTAGAAACAGCATGAAGAGGCTTCTGGTTTTGTTGAGTTTTCGTGCGGCTGTAGAGGAAATCCATCGGGTAGTATAATTTTTGCAAATGAATCTCGTCTTAATTTTTTCGTATATTCTTCATGTACATCTTGAATTAACTGTTGAAAGGCTTGTTCTACGTTTGTTGCATCTAGTGCCGACATATGTTGAGGCAATATCACGGTGATCGGGTAGAAGAGCTTTTAATTAGATTTTCAAAGCTTTTTCGTAATTCATTAAAGCTAAATCATTTTCACCTTTGTTCTGGTGTACATTTCCCATATTGTTATCGGAACTTCAAAGTGTTTGTTTGTGGGTCTGTGAGGGATGTTTCAAAGACAAGGAAGGCGATATCTAGGTGATCGGGTGGAAGAGCTTTTAATTGGATTTTCAATGATTTTTCATAATTCATCAAAGCTAAATCATCATCACCTTTGTTGGGGTGTACAATTCCCATATTGTTATCGAAACTTCAAAGTGTTTCTTTGTCGACGTGTAAGGGATGTTTCAAAGACAAGGATGCCAGGCCATGTCGACACGCTCTCGTGGGGGATCAACACATTCGGCATTCGGATACTCCGGGACAATCCACTCAGCCCGTCACAGTCGAGTTACTCTCGGAGTCGGTAGAGTGTCCCGTAGGCGCGTAGTCTATTCATTTATCTTGACCAGAAATCTATTCTATAGCATGGGATTTAACTTTTTTCTTGGATATGTTTTAAACCCTTATCTGCGTATAATTAGTCGCATAGAAGAGTTAAGGAAGCTTTAGCTAGTTCCTCTAAATCAAGATTATACACAACATTACTATGTGTTTGCAAAACAGTTAGGTTACTTAACCATTCATCATCGGTTCTGTTTCTTAGATAATTCTTTATAAGGTTCATTGTTGAAAATGAACGTTCTGCAATATCAGTTGAAAGAATACCACACAGTTGTACTAGCTGATATATGTTAGGAAAGAAGTCTTTACTCGAGCCTATGAAATTTGGCTCTAGTGGTAGAGATTCAATTGGTGGTGGAGATTCAATTTCATCATGAAATGAACAATGTCGACAGGTATGTAGTTAAATGTGCTGCATACTTTTTTTATTTCAGTGCATAAATGGTAAACATACAAGTAAATTTGATGAAGCATGGTGAAACTAGCTATCTACTAGGTAGACGAGAATGGCATAAAATCAGCCAGAGCCCCAGAAGATTGTGAATACAACCGATGAGTTATGGAACAAGCTCTCACAACAGGTGTAAGTGATAAGAACATTCTGAAATGTATGAGCAAAAATCTGTTGAAAAGAAAACACATAAATGGATGATAGGACAGTTAGTATGAACAGGATTAGAATGGATGGCCTAAGTGTGGATTATGGAAATTCTTTTAATTCAATGATCATTGTATTGAACTTGGTACATACAGAAAACATAGAAACTTCAGGAGATCCTCACGGGAAGCAATGTGTATGGTTTATATTAATACATTCAGGTTTCCTAAAGGTCGCATTCCTTTTGCGACAAATCAGTAGGTTGGGTGCAATAATGTAGCTGCACAATGGATGATAAAAGTTTAAAAAACTCCATGTATGCTTTGGTCAAAAACTGATAATCTCGGACAGCGTCTGTAGTGATCACTGATGGACAATTTTAACTACTAATCCATGCTGTACCACTAATAATCAAAGTTCATAAGTGGCAATGGAAAACTTAAAATCAGTGTTTCTCGAAATAATCGACGAACCTAATAACTGAGCGAGCTGTCGCGCCCAGCACGATTTTGATAGCTAAAAGTAAAGAGAGAGAGAACTTTGAAACATTTTGTATGTATATACACGTTCTAGCGCTTTATACAAATTTTTGTACATTTCATACAAGACGGTCAAGGTATAGGGAGAAAAAGAGAATAAACAAAAAATAGAAGTGGCTAGAATTTCTAGACGCCACCTCGATCAGTATAAAAAGACGGATTTGCCTAGCAATATACAGTTAGATTGAATAAAAAGAATTTTGTATTTAGAAGATTATATTAACCAGAGCCTTTGGATCATTGTTGTTTATTGTTTTAGCATTTGGAAATAAAATCAAAAATACAAAAAAATTGTGTAGTGTTTTAAGAGACAAAAACATTTACGTTTCTTTATTTTCTGGTGCGAAATTTACACAGCAAAGATTAAAGCTTACCTATCGAATCCGTAAGAAATCGATACGAGCATCAGAGTGCTTGCTGTGGTTATTTCCTGAAAACTGGAACAACAACCAACAGTTGGTAATAACAAGCAGCCATTATAAATCTCTACTTTGACTGCGCTGTCGCCCTTCGAATGTCGTTCTCAGTGGTCACCAGCTCTGGATGCGTTGTCGGAAGTGATTTGCGTCTTATTGCTGCTACTTTGTTATAATATTGCAGTGCTGATTGCCAAGTACGAGTTGCTTCATGCAGGAGTCCTATATTACGGTATGTTGAGGCGATTAAAGGGTGATCGGGTGGAAGAGCTTTTAATTGGATTTCAATGCTTTTTCATAATTCATCAAAGCTAAATCATATTCACCTTTGTTGCGGTGTACAATACCGATATTGTTATATATTAACGCGATATCAGAGTGATCGGGTGGAAGAGCTTTTAATTGGATTTCAATGCTTTTTCATAATTCATGAAAGCTAAATCATTTTCACGTTTGTTCTGGTGTACAATGCCCAGTCCTATGTAACAGTCAGCAATACCCGAATCACCCACTGTCAGCTCACTTAACAATCGTTTATAGTACTTTTCGGCCTTATCCAATTCACGCATCTCATAGAACAAATTTCCAAGTGAAATGAGATAGAGCTGGGAAAAGCCTACTAGATAGATATATTTTTATTTTTAAACGTTCCACCGTAAGTGGGGACAAAAAAGAAATTCATTAAATATGAAATATATTCCGGGAAGAAATCAAGTTTTGCTATTTTTGTTTTTTTGTAAAAGTTCAATAATTCAATAGCAAAACAGTATTATGACCTGAAATTTTCAGGCTATACTTCTAGACGTTCACAGTTTAAGTACACGTATAAATTACTTGAAATTATTGCTAGTTTGCTACTATTATTAAAATATCCGTACAATAGCAGTATTCCATATTTTTGGCATAAAACGATGTACCGTACTAGTTTGGTTATTTCATCACTTGAATTTGTTTTAATTACAAGCAGTTATGTACCGCAGATAGAGCGTGTCAACGGCTACAACAATATGTATAAATTGTTAATAAATTTCGGTTTCATAATAAGAAACAAAGTGTAATATACTAAAGAAGTATGGAACAGCATTTAGTATCAAACTTAAATAATTCTATGGAAACGAAAAACATTTTTAAAAAACAATCTTTTTTAGATCAAAATTTTTTCGCAGTGAGTAGTATACTAGTACCTCTATAGCTACGCCAAATTTCAAGCCAAAACTAACTGTTGGTGAGAGATCTTTTTTTGCTTTCTGGTGAGGGGTTACCGTTCCAGCACAGATTGCATATTTAATGAATTTCTTTTTTGTCCCCACTTACGGTGGAACATTTTAAAAATAAAAATATATCTATCTAGTAGGCTTTTCCCAGCTCTATCTATCACAAAAAGAACTGGGCCAAAAAGTGAATTCTAGAGGGGCAAAAATAATCTTTCAAAAAGGGGTAAGTTTTTTTTGGCGCATCCTGTAAGCCTAGAATTAATTCTAGTTTAATCTAGCATAAAATGTGGAAGAGGAAAATCCAGAAAGAGAAGTTCTTTTATTGTATTTTAATCGTCGATTTATTTTTGGTCTTCACTGGTGACTGATCCTTATGTGGAAAAATGAACCCACTGGTTTCTAATAAATTATATTACTGTCAAAACGTGAGTTTCAGCGACCGCATTTATTACTAAGGATGATGGGATTATATTTAGGACAGTGTGTATAGTTTTGTTACTGGTTGCAATTCATTGTATAACTGATTTCTACGTATTCAGTCAGACTGTGATTGTCCGTAGCAACGACAAGGATGTTCCTCGGAAGAATATTCTGTGATTTGTTTGTTGGTTGGTGATGATCTCCGCGAAAGTGTTTATGTGATGATGATTAACTTGGGAAATGGAACCAACGTGGATGTGAACGATCCTGCAGTAAAGGCACTTTTGCTATCCCATTAATAAACAGATAGATGGCAAAACTACTTACTTCTTGGCTTTTTAAGCTCTTCCCCACTCAGAAACCTATTTTCCTCCAGGAACATTCAACCTTGATAAAAAATTTCAGACAATGTGTGCTTTGAGCTAACTTAGTCATTATACTAATTGCGGCCTCTTATCACTTGTTTTCCAAGAGTTATTCTTAAATTAGTGGTGAAAAAGTATGGTTTCGTACTTCCGAGATTCCGCCGCCATTTTTCGGGCTAGAAATTCAGATTGGTTTCAGAAAATAGAGAAATGTTTTTTCTATGTCATGACGCCGTTGAATTTTCAATTTATGCTTAGTTTAGGAGGAATTTAAACAATTTCCGAAAAGTAAATAAAATCGCTCCAACTTGTCGGAAAATTTTTAAATTCCTCCTAAACTAAACATCCAACGATGTTACAACGTAGAAGAAACATTTCTCTATTTTTTGAAACCAATCAGAAATTTCTAGCTCGAAAAATGATGGAGATATCTTGGAATTACGAAACGCTACAGTTGTAAAACGAGATTTTAAGAAAAACGTGAAACAAGTTTACGAAATGAAAAACGAAGAAGGAAAGAAATATAATAATAGTTCTCAAGAGGTTTTTGCGTATGCTAGATCCAATGTGCATATTTGCAGATGCATGTGCGACATTTATTTTTTGCATATGCAGTGAGATTTCAATAAAAACTAATTTTTTAGAAAATCAACTAGAAAACCATCAAGCGCCATTTTTCAAGGCATAAAAACTAGTGCGCTGGAAAGAGGACACTTTAAACTCTTCAACCATATATAAATATCAAAATCAATGGTTTGGATGAAAATTTATTTTTTCTTCCCTTAAATCAGACAGTGAATGGCAGAAAGACATCGTAATCTGGTAGAATTTCGTTTTATCTTTGCATTCAAATATCCAACTTCGTAGCACTTGTGAAATTATTTTAAGCGAGTTAATGGATCTTCTATGAAACTTGTTACACATCATGGCTTTGCAGATATGTATCATTCTCTTACTCTGAGAGGGTAGATGCATTTTGCCAAACAGAAGAAAAATATCGTGAACATTTAGAAAAACCAGGCGAACAATTACTACATTACCAATTTAAAAAAGAAAATATCTTTGCTGTTTGTTCGACGCTTCAGTTATTAAATCACGATTCGAATCTGTACAAAGCCGTCGAAAATAATATACGAGAGTTGGGCTCAAATGAATTAAAAAATGGATTTCAAGAAAGTAAGAATGCTCTAAATGAATTTATGGAATATGAATTATCAAAAACACATATGAAACAATTCACTGACTTAGCTTCAACTAAACTTCTGAAATATGTTAAAGAAACTTTAGACACGGCAGATCATCTGTTACTATTTGATTTTAAAGATCTGTCACTGGAAAATTATAATAAGAAACTGAAAACAAAAATGTGGGATCGAACTTATCCAGAACAACGTTATCAGCTCACATATGACAAGGCTAATTTATTGCGAAGGACAATACTGATAATGTATTGTTCACAATTTTTTGACGACAGTAAAAAAACATTTCGTGATCGTTTTCTTTGCTCAACAATTGCCTCCGATTGAAGGGCGTACACTTAAACTAGCTGATACTAACGCATTGCATCTTAATACACATTCTGTTGATTATCAAGTACGGAAAAATTTAACTTCTAATTTTCTAAAAATTGTTAATAAAACTTCAAATGACTTAGCCCAACATTTAAACCAAAAATATATATATGAAATGGAAATGATATTAAATAAAATTTGTCCTGAAGAAAATGATTTATTTCGTACTAAAACTTTTACATTAGAAAAATGTAAAAATGAAGCAAACGCATTAGTAATGCGTATTTGTGGTCCAGCGATAACAGCAACATTAAGATACCCGCATACGCATATTAAAGTTAGACAAGACGCAATTAATCAGTTACTTTGTGTTGCACCACTATTTGCCGATAAACTGTGTGATAAACATAACGATGAAAACGTAGTAGAAAAAGTCACACCAATACTGATTAATGGGATCATGTCATTACTAAAAAAAACTGATGTGATTAATATTCAAGTTATAACACAGTTCTTTAAAAAATAATTAATTACTACATTTTATTATTACTTAAAAATGTATGATGCTGTTCAGGGCTGGGCAACTCCGCTGACTTTCAACTCAAACTCAAACTCCGTTTTCAAATCTCCAGTCAAACTCCAACTCCGCTCAAAATTTGTCAACTCCAACTCCAACTCCATCAATAAAAATCTCAACTCCCGTTCAACTCCGGTTGCTTCACTTTTGCAAGAAAGATTTTTCGGTTTTTAACAGGATTTTGGGCGTTTTTGAGCTTTTTTCGGCCGGAAAGCAAAAAGAACTTCCGAATTCACTCGTGAATACAGTCACTCAATCGTTTAGAAGATTAGTTTTACAACTATTGAATATTTCCAAAAATGCAAAACGGAGTAAAGAATAAAAATTCAAAAACCCAATTCCAACTCCACCAAAAAAATGCTAAACTCCGGAGTTGGAGTTGCCCAGCCCTGCTTTGACCCNGCAAAACGGAGTAAAGAATAAAAATTCAAAAACCCAATTCCAACTCCACCAAAAAAATGCTAAACTCCGGAGTTGGAGTTGCCCAGCCCTGCTTTGACCCCAAATTATGGACTTTTTACTTTAGAAAACGAAATTCTATGGTAGGTAGCTGTAACCTTCTGATTTTAACCGCAAAACTATCGATTTTTAGCACTTGTTTGTTTCAAAGTGTACATCAAACTTTGCTCTTTAAGGCTACTTAAACTACGCCTAATTATTCAAGAATTAATCACAAAGGTAATCATATGCTCTCTTCTGACAGTGAACAAGTAAAGAAGTGAAAACGAAGTTATTTTTTATATATAGTCGACCAACGGAATGTTTATAAAAAGCGCTTTATTGTTAATTCTTTTGCATTTTGCGTTTAGTCAAAAATTACTTATTTATTTATTGTGATAGCAAGTAACACAAGTAGTGGTAATTTGAAAAGCTCTTAAAAGTTTCATTTGCAAAAACATGGTAAAAGTACAACTTTGAAAAAGATATCACAGATTGTTAAAGTCTTTGTGTAAGCTCTGACAACCATTGGAGATGACTTGAGTTTCCAGTAACGACTTCAAGCACGGAACGTGTTCCCATCAAGGCTCGCTAACTTCAGTAAAAAGATTTTAAATAGAAACTTAATGGGATTTTGAACTCTACGTTCTTGTGTCGTAATTTTTTGCATCCTAATCAATTTCGAACTGATAAGAACTGTGTTCGACTATTAAAAAGGAATTCGAAGTTAAGAATGCCATCATTTTAATTAAAACTAGATTCATTTTCCTTATAACGACAATAATGTAATCCAGTTTTGCTCTTCTCCGTCTGTAGGAACAATTAATTCTTTACATAGATATTCTGCAATGAATTCTGAAAGACATCGATTCCAAACTAACACTATCGTAGCAAATACATATTTCTCATTTTTTAAAAACAAGATATATGAAAAACGAAGAGTGAAAGGTGCGTTATTTGATAGAGTACTGTAGGGTAAAACGACAAGGTGTCTGACATTTTTGTAGTATTTTTTGGTATTTCTCAGTCGTTCTTAATCGGAAAAGCTTACTATTAAAAATGGTGATAGATTGAACATTTCTCTACATCTCAGGTCGACGAAACTGGTATTTAATTGTCCATTAATAGACTGTTAACTGTATGCCAAAAAATGGCCTGTTAATTGTGTAAAAATCGAATGAAAATTGGCATTTAACAGCCATTATGATGACAATTTTTCGACTTTGAAATAACAGTGAAAATAATGCCAGATTATAGGCAATGTCCGAAAAATTGGCATTTTTCGGATACCATTAAATGGTATTTTCGTTCATTTATTAGACCGCGTTAACTAATGCGGCCGTTAAATGTCCGTTTTTTCTCCATTTCAAAATGGCAAAAGACTGATCATAAACTGGCTGTTAAGTGCCAGTTTATGGTCACCAAGTCATTCACCGTTTAATTCTGCCGTCATGAATAGTATAAATGACTCTGATTTTTCTAAAATAATTTAGAGTATCTCTCTTCTTCAATTATACGAGTCATAGAAACTTGCCTCGAAGAAGTGGTCTGTGATTCCTAACTCGATACAGGTGATAGTACCCCAGGTTCGGAAGATATTTTTTTGACATTTTCTAACAATCTAACAATTGATATTTAAATGGCAAAAAAAATGTGACTAGTAGGGTTACTGGGAGCAGTTAAATGCCTGTTATTTGACCGTTTTCTGACATTTAAAAAAAATGCGAAATAAATGCATTTAAACATTCCCAGTTATAATGGCAAAAAACGGCCTAAAAACAGGGTAAAATGTCATAAATATGACATTTAAATGCTCATTAGCAGCGTATTAAATGGCATTTAATTCCCAATTAATTACACCGTTTTCGACGTCCAGGGATGCGGATACGGAAAACATCTGAAAATATGCAATAAAGTCAGAACCAGATCCAAAATGCGAAAATCTGCTCCGAAGTTTCTCCTTTTCCCCAAATGGGGTAAGAAGAAATACTCCGTTGAAATATACAGGAACCTCACAGGCAAACCTGTACCATTTCTCATGGCGTATCAGTTTAACGCACAGAAATTTTTTTTCATCGACAATCGTATAGAATAGACTTTCCGCTGCAAAATAAAAGGTCACACTACTTCCACTGCGCTTGAATTCCAAGTTTAATCAAATGTATTAGCTAACTATTTTGATATGTCGATATATTCGCCTGGAAAACAAAAGCTGCAGTCAATTTTTCAATATATCGTCACTATAAAAATATTATTATATATTCTGAAAGCGCTCGAAGTTCTTTATCACCCTGTATATTCATGTTTTATCTTGCATTTATTCCTTGAAAAATAAATTGAGTGTAATGACGGCCCCCTCACTGTCAGATTCTCAGAAATTGTAACTTAATAATAAATTGGTGCGGCCTCTCAGTATTTTCTATTTTTCTCGTGTTTCTTTAGGATTCAAAGGTGAATGTTAGTTTTGAAAAGATGCGCCGGAAAATGCTCTACCAACCATAGCTAAACTTTAATTCTAGAGCTTCAATCAAGAAAACTACTCAGATTATACGAAAGACGAAAAGAATGAAAATTTGTTATTTTTTTCCACTTGAACCCTTTTCTTTGCTATTATTTCCGTAATAAAAGGGTTACAAAAGTGAGAAGGCAGTTATTTTGTACTTCTGAATGTGCTCTTTCTCGTGGTCCGTAAAAAAGTCTTTTAAAACAGATGGTGTGAAAAAAACTGAAATAGTAGTGAAAAAACGCAGCTTTTTGGTACGTGTTAATTGGGAATACCTTCGCTGCACTCCAATTATTTTTCAGCAAATAAATGCAAGACAATAAGCAATATATATATATACAAGCTCACAATGAGGGTGCCTTCATTTCACTCGATTATTCTTCCAATGAACAAGAGCAAAGGAAAATCTAAATATGTAGGTTGATAGAAAATTCCAAGGCTATCAGATGGTATAATTATTTTTTTCCAAAATGTGGTTTT